GAGAAGACATGCTTTTAACCCACTAACAGCTTCCCAAAAAACGGCAGAGATTAGAGGAACATAAATTAGAAGGCCTGGAAATACAAATGTAATGAGCGTGAATAGCTGCTGAGGACCAGAGTTTTATTTTGGTAATATTATATATACCTATGTAGAAAGGAAGTATAGGGTCTGGGTCTATTCATTTAGCATGCCAGTGCCTAAGAGGTGTAACCTTTACCAATTCAAATAGGTAGGATTATGCATGCCCCCTGTAAATAAAGTGTCTGTCGATCTTTGTGTAGCAAAGCAAATATGGACTAAGGCATTCTCTCAGTGACAGGAGTTTGCACTGTTACTGGGTCCAGTTAAGGTCACCAGAATAACTCAGTTAAGTGTTCACAATCCCTCTATAAACAAACCATTGGATATGTAACTAAGGCATCAAATGCATAATGGTTTGCAAATTTCACACACTTGGCATACCTTTCTTTGCTGTTCTCCTACCCCCACCACCCCTACATTTTGGAATCCATGTGCAATGTTGCATGAATGCTCTACGCAATACTGCAAACCATCCCGGGAGTAATCCTAGTGAAATATGTAAATGTTCTGCTCTTTAAGATGTAGTAATATCATTTTAAGTAGTTAAAATATGAAGCTTGTCTCCTGTTTAAGTGAAGCTTCAACTTCAGATATGAAAATATGAAAAGAAATTCAACTTAGTTTTACCAGTCTCTCACTTTTATGAATCTCTCACTCGATCTGGTTGACTTCTTATTCTGGTCTTGTTCAGGCTTTACTTAAAAAGCAAAACTGAATTAAAAATCCATTTCAGTATCAACCACACTTAGCCACTATTTGCTGATATGCTGTGGACCTATAGAAAAACTCTAATTCCATTTGATTATGTAATTGATATAATCATATAAATCTAATTCTGATGCAATTATGTAAATCTACTTTTCGAGTAAAGATATGACCTAATAAAATATTTTCAAATTTCATACTTAACAAATTCATAAAGCACAAAAAGTGCCAACCTTTGTCCATTACTAAAAAGAATGGTTGCTTTTAAAAACCCATTGAAAACTCCACAACTGTTTTTAAATAAGTAAATTTTAGAAATATTTTCCCAAATTAGAGAATTGAAAACCAGAAAAGTATCAGTAAATTTACTTTAAAGGGAACAAATAAGTTACTATGGAAAAGAAGCAGAGACTATGCTCAAGGGAAGCATAATGATTCAAATTTTTATTTTCAGTGATTTTGTTGGTTTGACTAGCAATCATCTTTTAAGCTGTGTTTTATAAATTGGTTACTATGCATAATATTCTACTTGTGGTGTGTTTTAATATACTCTTTGGTCATGTTTTTGCAGTTATGAAATAACAAAAGAGTGTTATTATTACTTGAACAAGCACACAACAAAATTGATCATATAAAAACATCATCAGTGATGGGAAAGATGCATGCCTATAATATGACCATAATAGCAGCCCAGTGATCCCAAGAGCAAGCAGATTCTTGCATCATTGGAAGTTTTTGCAACGGGCACTATCCAGAAGGAAGCAGAGGAATATGAGCATGACCTGGGGAAAGAACTCCAGGTTCACCTTGGGAAAGGCAGGGATGTGGCCACTGTTTGGCTTACATCTTCTTCCTCTTTCCTGACCTGTATCGAAAAAAACCTCTTGAGAAAAATTAAACTGGGAATTTTGACTATAGGATACACAATTACAAGATAACAGAAATTTTTTTTACAAGGAAAATTATTTAAATTTGAAAAAAATCTCCCAGTAAGTTGTTAGTGGGCCAGGGACCTGCATTACCTACTTTTCTTAGGTAATGCTCTTTGAACTCTAAAGAACATAGACTTACTTGACATCAGAGAAGAGGAACTGGTGTTGTATGAAAGAATTCACACAAACCAGAATGGATAAGAATGAATGTGACCTAGTTTTGAGCACTGGTCTCCCTCCCCTGCTGTCTTTCATGGACTCTCTCTGGCTCAGTCTCTCTCAAGGTCAGTATTTCCCAACTGGCCTTTTTTTCTCTTTTCTATGTCACTTCATAACTTCATCTTGCATATGGCCTTGACCTACTCAAGCCTGTGGCAATTTGACAGTTCCAGTAAAGTTGCTTCTTGGCAACTCAATCCTTGTTTGTTATTCCAAATTTCCAAGGGAAAGACTCTAGCTGGTTCAGCTCCTCTCTGTATGCTAATCCCTGAGCAGGTGATGATAAGCCTATGAATTAGTTCTTGAGTAAACCTTGCCCAACCTCTGTGCGTATGTGGGGTGCAGCTCCAAGACCGAGTCATGACTTTACAAGATGAGGGCTGTGGATGGAGCTCATTCTAGAAAGGCCTGCAGCAGGGCTGACAGTGACAATATCTCTAAGATACTTCATTTTTAATATTCTCTCTGTTCTTTGTTAAAATATTCAGTTATTCATACAATATTTTTATTAAGTACCCTCAATGGATCAGATATAGGAGAAGAATGACAATGTGAGGCAGAGAATGAGGAGGCTGCTTAAAAGACCCCATTCCTTTTGACTCCCTTTACTGCAAGTCTTATTCCCCCACAGACCTAAGGAGATCCCTGTGATTGGCACGCATCATTGAAGACACATTTTTGATTTGACAAGCCTACGAAATTTATTTATTCCATCAATATGAAGGAAAGATGTCTTTGTATGTAATCTCCACCTTAACATAAAAACTGAGCATGTGTCTTCATAGCACAAAATTTAGCAGTGGAGCCTCCAAATTGTTCTGGAGGGGTTGTGGCATTTTAATCTCTGAAATACTATAAATATCTAAGATATAAATCAAAGCAAATATAGATGCCAAGGCAGGGACTGTAGCAGAATGGGTCTACAAGTAAGAGAAGGGGGCCCCATGTCAAGAGTGATACTTTCTTATTTAATACATTCTGGGAGTCACAGATTAGAGTCTTTCCATATTTGTTTGTTTATTTGTGTGTGTGTATGTGTGTGTGTGTGTGTGTATATATATATATATTGCCACACTAGTTTTAACTGTTTGTTTTTTCCTCTTGGCAGATAATCAAGTTGTGAAATGCTTTCAAAAGGTCTTTCACTATCTCAGCCAGATGATCAAGGTCAACCTCAACAGCGTACGTCAAGCTGATAGTACATACCCTTGATATGATATGATGGTGTATTACTTTACCTCTGTGGTCTCCCAAAAAACCTCATAACCCCAGAGTAATCACAAGAAAGGCATTAGACAAACCACTTCTGAGGAACATTCCAGAAAATACCTGATCAATACTCCTCAAAAACAGCCAAGGTCATCAAAACAAAGGAAGGCTGAGAAACTGTCACAGCCACGTGAGCCAGAGGAGGCATATCTAAATGTAACGTGGTATCCAGGAAGAACAGGAAAAGGACATTAGGTTGAAAACTGAGGAAATATGAATGAAAAGTGAACTTTAGTTAATAAATAATGTATCAATATTGGTTCCATAATTGTAACAAATACACCATGCTAATGTAAGATGTTAGTAACAGGGAAAGCTTTGTAAGGTATATTAGAACTCTCTATACTATCTACCCATCTATTCTGTAAATCTGAAGCTGTTCTAGAAAAATAAGACTGATTTAAAAAGTCAGTACAATTTAGAAGAGCATGGAAAAGGTCTGTTTGTTTTAATATGAAACTTTAATATGATATTTCTGACCTATTATACTTGCACTTCAAAGATTCTCTTATAAATTCTCTGGAGTCAATACTTCATAAACCCATCTTGCTCACAGGTTCTGAAGATTTTTAAAAAGAGAGTAACAGGGAGTAGAAAGGAGTTATAGTGTTCAGGATCTTACCTCCCTATTAAATATGTGGCTTTAAAAATATATATCAGGTATTTAATGATACAATCATGAAAAACTAGGCTCAAAATCATCTATGACTGGGCTCTATTTTAAAGAGCAATGCAGTTGTACTATAGCAATTGCAGATACATAAAAAAAAAGTGCCCAGTTCCACCCATATACCAATTGCTTATTTCTTTTACTTTTCTTTTTTTCCTATAGTCCTTCCCACTTGCCACAATACTAGTGTTGATGAAATTGGGCATTCTGATTTTTATACTAAAATTGTGTCATAAACATTTCCCAGGTCATTTCATAGTCTTTAAATCTTCACTTCAAAAGCATGCATTATAGTCCATCAAGTGGATAACCCACAATTTAGTTGAACAATTCCCTATTGCTGACATTACGAATTACCTTTTCTCCCATGGAAGAGTCAAACTACCCCTCCCTATTCCTGTAACCAACTGAAAGTTGAGACCCTATAGTATATTTATTCCTTGAAAAAACATCCAGTGTTCTGCACTCTTGACCGTACATCTTACTAGGGCCTGGGGAGGAGATGCGCAGGGCCCAGCTCAGCAGCTGGGGCCACAGAGCAGAAACCGCAGCTCCAGGTGCTATCTTAGGCTTCATCTTTCCCTCTCTGGTTCTTACGGGGTCTTGCTCTAAAATCAAAGTTATCTGGCCTCAGGCATTTAAATACCTCTCACCTGCTCGTAAAAGAGAAAATGAAAGTTGCTGCTCTTACTTTTTATGTATCACATGTCTTAGAAATGAAATCTCTTCATGAATACAAACTTGAAAGAGGGAATAACAACATTTGGGGGAGTCAATGCTGGGTAATAAATGATAAAGCTGTGACGTCTTGGAAGGTGGAGGTAATGCGTTACTTGTGAGATGTCATCATTCTGAGATCATCACTGCAGCCTGTCAACTCCAGAGAGAGAAATGCTGGATACAACTGGCTTCTTTTTACTGTGTGTGTGCGTGTGTGTGTGTGTGTGTTTAAATCATAAGTGACTACATGAGACTTCTTCTTCTAAACTTCATTTCAGTGTACACATTCAAGTTCCTGTCTTGTTACAGATGGAGAAGGGAAGGAAAGTAGATTGATCAATAATTTTAAAAATGTTCTGTGGCAAAAGGTACAGGAGGCCAGGAAACCGGTATGAAAATGTGTAGGTGTGCTCACAACCAACTCATCAAATGCTCTCTTAATTGGCAGAACTTACATCAGAAGATGAAAAGCATGAGTAATGTTCTTGTCAAAAAAGAACATTCTGGACTATGCCATACAAACAAGCAATAAAGGGAGGTTGGAGTCCTGCCAACTCAGCCTCATGAGTAAACATTTGTGAGGTCAGTCCCAGTGTGGAAACACAGGCGGTCCTCTTTTTTGGGCATTGGAATCAATACAAAGAGCCCATTGCTCATTCCAAAGAGAACGAAGAGTCTAGGGAACTGAGAGGAAGCAGATCATGTCCAATCCACCTCTGAGTCTCTGAGCCATGGTGCATGTGGAGTAAGTGTGATGTGGGTGCACAGCCCCTGCCTGTGGTCTGGCTGCACTGGGTCAGGCTTGTATACCTTGGAAAGGCATTTCAGGGTAAAGGAACCTACAGTACATTATGGCTCTTTATAGTTAGGCATGGTAATTATCTTTTCATTGTTCTGGTTAAGTTGGCCTAGTTTACATCAGGTAGGTTTCCTTGTATGTCAATAGACCTCAATCCATCATAAGAATATTTAAAATACTGAAAATTCCATGCATCCCCTTTCTCTCTTAATTTCTGTCCTCTTTATATTTGTCCCCTTGCAAAATTCTGGTAACAATTTTCCATGGTTAAATGAATAAAAATCAGACAACTTATAATTTATTTTGTGTAGTTCAGTCGGCCTTGTAGTGCCCAAATTTCTTTTTCTTCAAAGAAAATCAATCTGGGGTGTTCGAGAACCTGCTTGATTCATGGTCAACCTCAGATTCCAGTCCATTCTAATAAATCAGCCTCCAAACCTGGGTTAGTGATGGGGAAAAAGATACATTTTTATTTAACTCTTCAGAAACAACAGTAGTGAATTCCGAGGGCTCTGTATCTACTTTCTCCATCTTTCAAACAGTCATAGTGCCAAGCTAAGATCTTTGTCCATAATAGGAATTCAGTAGTGTTGTAAGTGTTGCACAAAATAGAAAAATATAGCATTGGACAAGGTAGAAAGGAAAATGAGACAAAGAGAGAATGTGAATATAGGCTAAAAATAGAAATCCAGCGGAAGTTTCTTGAACGTGTATTCTCTCCCATGCTGTCAGGGCCAGGGAGGGCTGGCTGTGGTTATGGAGAAGTTTGGTGCTCCTACCAGAGACCTGACCCTTTCTCTCTAGCTGCCTGGACTGCGAGCTGGGGGCCATTATGGAAGGCAGGGCTTGGCAGGCCAAGAAAAGCAAAGGGAAAGGTATTATCTGAACAAATAAAGAACAGCCTGACCCTGAAGGTTTGGGATGATGTTGCCTGGAAGCAGCCTTGGCTGGGGAAGCTGGGGCTAAATTTCAGTCCCAGGTGCCCTCTCTGTAGGGCCTCTTTACATTGTGTTCAACAACACATTGATGTCTAAGGGACCTGCTGGGTCTGGTTTTAGAACATGTAAGAAATAAAGTGACATCACTCCAGGCAGTGAAAGAGTGGAAAGCCAGACAGGGAGACAGTCAGGCAGTGATGGCAGACACCAGCTGCTTGGACCGGTGACCTGGCCCAGATGGGATCGGCTGTCTCCCCAGATGCTTTGGGTGTGCCTTAGTGGGCGAGTCCACCCAAAAGAAGCTGTCACAGGGAGAGAATCTTGAGTCTCTGGACCAAGTCTCTGTCTTCTAAACTACTAGATGGCCCCAAGATCAGAACTGGAGGCAGGTACACGAGACCCTTAGTTCTACTCAGACCAGAGGCCTCACCCCAGGTGGGCTAGGAAAGAGAGATGTCAGTGAATTGCAGTATAAGGCCCACATTTTCTCTCCTTCACTGAAGGGCTTTTCCAGCAGTACTTCCTCAGGCCAGGAACCCATTGCTCCCCACAGAGCATGTATCCCTGGCCTCACTGGGAATGGCTCACTTGGCGGCATTAATAGGAAGGAGGTGGGGTTGATTGCACTGCAAGGGCAGTTTATGAGCTTGCCTCTAAGGAGGGGTGTATTCTAGCAGTGAAATGTCCTGCTCAGTGATGTATGACTTCAGCCTGCCATGTACAACAATCTGCTTGGGAAACCAGAGGACTTCTGATGATAACTCATTTTACAGCACCCCGTTGAGGATTCTGCTGAGCTGCAACTGTGGTTGGGTGAGAAGCGCCAGGTCCCAGTGATGTACTAGCCTGTCCAGTGCTGGCCAGCCTAACACAGGCTTCCGTGTTTACAGCTTGTTCAAAGCTCTTGGCTACTGCAGAGTCATTTGGCATGGGGTGCATGATGGACACTTCTATTAGCTGTTTTGAGTGACACATGGATCCGCTATGGCATTTGACAGGCAGAAACAAAATATGGAGTGCAGAAAATGGAAACACTCTCAGATCAAATTCAAATCTACAGTGTTTACTGAACAAGTACACTGATTTGGGAATTTGGAGAAATTTTGGGTTTTTGAGCTTTACCTGGAAGGAGAGAGGTTACCATGCTTTTATTTTCCCAGCCCCACTCTGCCTGTCTTACCTTTTATGTGGGGACACTGGGAAGGCTCTTATTTGCTGGTGTATTTGTATCTATTCCTATAAACTGTATTTGGGATTTTCAAATATTTGCACCAAAGGAGGCTGCACTCTATTAATAGTAAAAGGCATTTTGCTACATTGAAATAGAGTTGTGAGCCATGAATCCTAATGCTGTCTTGAAGAAGAAAAAGTATTGTATTAAAAAAAAAAACAAAGCTGTCATTAAGATTATATAACACTTAATCCTGTAATCAGTGTCTGTCTGGAGTACAGCACTATGTATTTCTATGAGGTTTTCATTTTTTTTAACTTCTTTTTCATAAAGGCACAGAAATGACACATAGTAGGTACTTGGTTGAATCTGTGTTCCCTTGAAAACAGAGCCTAGGATCCCGGTTTGCAGGCTGGCGGTTGATTTGGAAGTGGTCATCTGCTGTGCATTTACCAGATACTGAGCACTTTTGCTTATCTTGTCTCATTTAATTTCCACTTCAGTCCTGAAAGGAAATAACAATAACAGGTAAGCTTTAAATAGCACCATTCTAAGTTGTTTGCAGGTATTACACTCAATAGTCACCACCAAAATTATTTGTAGTACCCTGTTTTAAAATGAAGAAGCTGAAGCACAGAGAAGTCAGGAATGTGCCCAACATTTTGCAGCCAGTAAACAGAGCAGGCAAGGCCAAGTTCACATAATCTGGTACCAGAGACTTCGTTCTTAACTGTGAAGATCTACTGCCTCCTGAATAGTGGCACAGAATGTTTTTTTCTTTTTAGTTTAGTTTAGTTTTTTTAATAGACTTTATCTTCTAGAGCAGTTTTTGTTCACAACAAAACTGAGCAGAAGGTAGAGATTTCCCATAGACTCCTGCCCCCAACACATGCACAGCCTCCCGCATTCTCAGCATCCCCCACTGGAGAGGTACATTTGTTACAGCTGATGAACCTACACTGACACAGCATTATCACCCAAAGCCCATAGTATGTGTCAGGGTTCACTCTTGTTTTTTGCACATTCTATGTGTTTGTACAAATGTGTAGTGAGATGTATCCATTATTACAGTACCACACAGAGTGTTTTCACTGCTCTAAGAACCCTTTGTGTTCCACCTACTCATCCTCTCCTCTTTTATAACCCTTAACAAACACTGACCCTTTTACTATCCCCATAGTTATGCTTTTCCAGAATGTCATATAGATATTAATACATCATATACTATGTAGCTTTTTCAAATTGACTTTTTTTAGTAGTAATATACCTGTGTGGTTCCTCCATGTATTTTCATGGCTTGATAGCTAATATCCTTTTTAGAATAAAACAAACATTTCATTGACTGGATATACCAGTCAATGCTTTATTTACCCATTCACCTTTTGAAGGACATCTTGGTTGTCTCCAAGTTTCAGTAATTATGAATAACACTGCAATAAATATCCATGTGTACAATTTTGAGTATATGTAAGTTTTCAACTCCTTTCATTAAATACCAAAGGAGAAAGATTGCTGATTGTATAATAAGGGTAAGTTTAGTTTTGTAAAAAAACAGCAAACTGTCTTTCATAGTGGCTATAACCATTTTGCATTTCCACCAGCAATGAATCAGACCCCTGTTTTTTCCACATTGTCACTTCATTAGTTACTGTCTGGATTTTAGCAGTTCTAGTAAGTGCATAGTGGTATCTCATTGTTTTAATTTTCACTTCTCCCTGATGACATATAATGTGAGCATCTTTTCCTTTGTTATTTGCCATCTCCATATCTTCTTTGGTAAGGTAAGTTATCCATTAAAGTCTTTAGTCCAATTTTTTATCAGATTGGTTGTTTTCTTATTGTTGAGTTTTAAGAGTTGTTGGTATACTTTGGATAACAATCCATATCAGTATGTTTTTTGCAAGTATTTTCTCCCAGTCTGTGGCTTGTCTGCTCTGGGTTTCTGCTCTGATAATTTGCGATTCTCTGTATCCTCCTGTCCATCTCTCCAATTCTGGGGGCAGTGTTTTGCCCTGTGACCTCACTTCCATTATGGATCTAAGAAGAGTGGTTGACTTTTCAGTTTGTTCAACTTTTTGCATGTTATGACCAAATAGCAGCTTCCAAGCTCCTTAAGTGCCACACCAGAAACCAGAAGTCAGTATGAAGGAATTGAGGCTCAAAGTACGAGGCATATTTGCATTAACTGTCTGGCCACAACTCTTCTGTCAACCAGTCCTAGAGCCATTGTGACCTGTGGGGCCATATTTTGCGTCACATGGTCCTGTCCCTCCCTGGCCTTCTTTGGCTGCAGATGATTAGACTAAGGATGGATGAAAGGAAGGAGCAACCACAGGCTGAAAGCAACTCCTGATTTATGGACTGGTGTTAAAAAAAGAGAGACCTGGGCCAACCTGATCATTCTTTTTAGACTGAAATGGGGGACAAAGACAATTTTAATCAATGAAAAGTCAGAGAGGTAATTAGGGCTGACTTGGGGGATGGACCTGAGTCACATTAATCACAAGATGGTAGGTTCCTAAGCCACAGGGTGTCTTGAGTAGCCCCACATCCCCTGCAGCTCCACTTTCAGGCTCAACAAGACCCAGCACCATGTGATTGCCTCTGGCTTTCTGCTGAGATTAACCTCCATGCAAATGTCTGCTGTTAACTCTCCTGACTTGACCTAGCCTGGGTGATCTCTGCTCCATATTACCCAGCTCCACATCAAAACCACAATGTAGTTAATAATGGGGCTAGACTTTAAATCCACATTGATCTGACTTAGAAATCCATGGATTATCACAGGCTTCCATTCAAAGAGCAGTGTGTCTAGTATGATATTTTATGATTATATTCCCAGGTGAATTTAAAAATGCAAAGGGGACAAAGCAGATGGGCTATGAGGCCTAGTTTAACAAATGCTAAATGGACACACCATATTATCTGCAATACAAATACTTTAAAATGGGAGAAACACTAAAAGTGAATAGTCTTCTAGAAGAGTTTAGGGGTCTTTCCTTTGTTCTGGGTTCAGACTGGAGGAGCTCTACCCAAGGAATACCTTAAGGAATCCCAAGTCTTAGAGAAAGTAAAGACGGTGAAGGTCAAAATAATGCATGTGTGGTAAATTTTTAGCTTCGTCTGCTTCTTTACTGCAGTAAAAATACAACCTGTCATCATTGCTTAACCTCCTAGACTCCTTAAAAGTAACATTAATTTTTCTGTGTAGAACAATAATAATACACATTAATTGTACTCTTGAATTGTTTATTTTCTTTCTTATTTTGTTTTTTCCTAGTTTTATATCTCTTCACATTTTTTTATTTTCCCTTTCTTTTCTTATCTTAATATTTGATTTTTCATTATCATTTTTTTAAGTTTTCTTTGGATTTTTCATTGTTTTTTATAATATCAACTTCAATGTATTATTTTTTTCTTTATTTGTTAAAGGATAGAAAGAAAATAGAGTTGAAAAGAGAATAGCTAAAAACACATCCTTGTACTATCTCCCATGAAGAGATCTGTCCCCCAGGAATAACAGTCTTCCTTTATGTGAGGTGCCAGCTAAACCCTCCACAGCAGTTATATCGTGTAAATTTATTCACCACTTCTGAGGTGAGGGGACAAGGGTTGGTAGAGATGCATCATGCAGGAAGCTTCATCAATGTGTTTTTCAATTTCACCTTATGAGACACCCACACGGTGTCGATTCTTCTTTTACGCCTTAGAAGAAAGCATAATAAAATCAGATAGAAGATGTGTACCCACATATCTGGAGTTCAGCATTCATTCTTTCTGCCTCCAACTTGTCTGTTACTGGGCTGACGAGCTCTTATCAGAATTACTACAGAAGAACAACTTGAACCCCTATGGGTGTCATAGTGCAGGATTTCTTATAAAATCAGACATGCACTTAGAGTATAAACCAGAAATCCATGCCTAGTCCCACACTAAAGAAATGAAAATTATGTTCACACAAAGCCTAAAGGTGAGTGTTTATAAAGGCTAAAAACTAGAAGTAAGACAAATGTATTTCCATGAGTGAATAGATGCACAAACTCTGATTCATCCATACAAGGGGCTGCTATTCAGCAAGAATAGAAGGAAAGAATTACTGACAGTTCACAGATGCATTACACTAAGTGAAAAAAGCCAGACTTAGAAAGCTACATACTTTATGATTCCATTTATATGACATGTAGGGAAAGGAAAGAGACAGGAAAGCAGATCAGTGGTTGCTGGGGGCTGGGTATAGAAGGAGGGATTGACTACAGAGGGGCTTGAGAGAACTGTTTGGAATGATGGAAATATTCTCCATCTTGATTGTGGTGTTAGTTACTCTGCTGTATGCATTAGTTAAAACACACAGAAGTGGACACTAAAATGATGAATTGTTCTGTGTGTAAATTATGCCTTAATAGAAAACTTTTCTTTTTTTTCCAAAGTCCAGGCTTTGGAATCAGACTGCATTCAAACTCTGGCTTCTCCATGTTTCAGCCATGTGACTGTAAGTTCCGTAACCTTTCTGTGTCTCATTTTGTTAACTTGTAAAACAGAGCTAATAACTGCAGAGGGTTGTTGAGAAAATTAAATAAAAGGACATATGTAATTGTTTATCACAATGCTGGGCCAGACAAATCCTCAAGAAATGGTAGCTATTATTTTTATCTCACCATTAAAGAACTAAGAGGTTGTTCAGGGCATAGGTATCTAGACAAAGTTCTAAGAGTTTCTCTTTTAAATAGGAAATAGAAGTTTTATTAGAGTGCTTGTTAAGAACAATAGCACCCCATAAAAAGAGGTCATATCTTTTAATTCTTATGCAAACTCTTATTCTCCACATGAACTCTTCACAATTCTTTCTGGAAAATATTGAAGATGGCCCCAAAAGTCACATATTCATCGTTCTTGAGAGAATCCTGACCACATTGGTAAGTTTAAATTTCTGGAGAGTAAACTGAGGGAAGCATGAATAAATAAACAAATAATCCTTCAGAACCTAGACCACAAGATTAGTTTGTGAGTTATCATTTAGTCATTCATTCAATCAAAGAGCACCTATATACATCAAGTACAACTGTCCTAAGTGTTGGATATTCAGTAGTCACCAAAGCAGGCAAAAGTAATTGTCCACAGGAGCTTTGGCTCTATATTTAATGAGATTCATGGAATAAGCTTCTTATGAATCCTACCCTCAGAGATTTAAATGCAACATCTCTAGTCTCCAGTCATTTGGAAATAATCGTGAACATCACCCTCAATCACTCATCCTCTCCCACGGAGTCCCACAGTGTGTATTGCTCTTCATTTTCTCCCTTTTAAGACTTAAATCTCCTCAGACTATGGCTTATATTCTTTTTGGTTAACTTTTTATTTTGAAATAATTATTAACTTGCAGAAAATTGCAAAAATAATACAGGAGTCCTGTGTACCCTTCACTCAGCTTCCTCCAATGTAAACTTTTGTGTAATGATAGCACCATACCAAAACCAAGAAACTGACATTGTACAATGTAGTTAACCAGACTACAGGCTCTAGTCAGATTTACACCCACTCCTTGCCCATTGATTGAAATGTCCTCAGCTTGCTGACCTTCCTGTCCCTTTCTAGGGGGTAAAGAGTTTTCTCCTCTATTGAAACCTGAAGCTCACCTGGATCATTCTGGACTCGCCTGATCAGGGAGATTTTATTCAAATGCTGGTGTTACAAACTCACAACCTCAAAGCCAGTTCTGCTAAATCTCTGCCAAAATTTCATGCCAGATTTCATTTGAATCCACAAGGACAGTTATTTCCTCCTTGGATCAAATTCTGCCTCTTCATGTCACTGTCTGAAATGCAAGCTTTTCCCCATCTCTGTTTTCCCATACTCTCCTCCTCACCTCTCTCAGGGTTGCGTCCTATTCACCAGCCTGTCCTTCTACTCCTTCCCTTTCTTCAAATTTTTCAATAATACTCTCTGAAATTCCTGTTTGATGGTAACAGAATTCCCTTGCATATACACATGCAGCCTAAATATACCTTCACAGAGTGATAACATCATTTTCCTATCTTAAGTAAGAATAGACTTCACAAAGTCACCATCTCCCTAGAAAACCTAAGTGGCAAATGTTTATTCTTCTTTGCTCTGCATCAGCAGAACCCAGCCAAATAGCAATGCCATCCACTGACTATGAGGCCACAAATGATGTCAGTATTCTCACAGCTCCTCAGTGCCTCTTCCAAATTCTTCTTCCTCCATTTTTGCTAAATGCACCCATGGCATCTGACTGTTCTGCCTTCTACACTCCTGGCTGCTGGCTCCTACCAGTCCTTTGACATTTATCCAACACCTTGGTACCTGACTTAGAGCTTAGTTGTCTAACCTATGTCCTTCTGTCATATTGAGAAGTGCTGACATCCATCAATGACCTTTCTAATGCTCTAGCTTGCCAGGCTCTTCAATTTCTTAATTGCCTTTAGTTACTCTCAATTCTAGCTTCTTACATCTATGGCCATATCACAGACATGTTATAGGCCAGATGCTCCCATGTGACACCTTAAACTCCAATGCCTACTCTGACCTATCTTTATCTATTGAAGATTTTCACATCCACTAATGCCTTTAAAATTTTGGTGTCTGTTTCTTTCAGGGTCTCTGATTACTCCATTTTCTCCCAATAACCCCATTTTCTCTTAACTTCTCAATTTCTTCCTAAACTCACTTATTTTCATACCATGGCTTTTGACTTTTTTGGATACCATGGCTGGTATGGATACCATGGCTGATGGTTTGGATACCATGGCTGATGACTTTAGTTCTTGACCTACTCCCAGGCACTCCCTTCCTTACAGCATATGTTCCTGTTAAAGTCCCCATAGCACATCATACCCAAAATCTGTGCTCCATTATTTTATAACTAGAATGTTTAGCATTGCTAAAATGAAAATGTCTGAACGATCAGGTTGCTGCCACCACAGATTCATGGTCTTCAGTTGAACTCTCAGTGCCAGTCAATAAGACTCTTGGTTTGTGCACAGTAACCTACTGCTTCCTCTCCCACTCTCTGCATCTGTGCCAAACCTTCACCACTCTGCATGGTCTCCCCACCCCCACTTACCTGCATCACTTCCAGTTTAAATCATTAGGTACAAGTTTAAGTGATCATTCTGATAGCAGTGTTGAAGATGTGAGGATAGTCAGCCTCCAAGATGAGCCAGATGATCTTAGCCTTCTGTTATGAAATGTGTTAAATTAACATTTATTAAGTGGAGCACAGGGTACCAGACAATGAGCCAAGGCTCAACAATAGACCAGAAAAAAAATCAAAATAGAGAAGTTTATTACTAACAGGTCCTGGAGGAAGTATGCCATATGCCTCAAGGGGCCACCTGGGGAGGTCAAGGCAGAGTGCAGACAGTGAGAGAGGAAAGACCTGCAGCATGGGTACATAGCCTCCATGGGTGGAGTAGTTGGAGGTTTCCAAGCTAGGGCCAGATTGGTCAATTTAAACCAAAAGAGTAGAGTTTCGGTAAGCCTTGTGGGGTGGTCTTACTTAAGGAACTCATAAGATGTACAGACACTGGGAGGCAGGGGAGACTGTTGATCATGATGGCTGTTGGTGAAATCATATCAGGAACTTAAGTTTGTTTGTGCTCTGCAGGCTGTTATCTAAGGCATGAACTTGTGAGAGGGGCTGATGCCTGTTTACCATCTCTGCCGACCACTTGGCCAAGCAAAATTGATGCCAAGGCAGCAATATTATGAAGCAGGTTAGCTAAACTCTTAACACCTGATTTTTACACTGTGCATAGTCTCCTTTCTTCAGCAGACTGCATAATCACAGAGTACAAGGCAGGTGGAAACACATGACTTTCAAAGCTAGGTTATGAAAGGAATTGCCACCTCAGCCTCGGCATTTTGGCCCACTTGCTTGGGTGGAAGCTAAGCTGTCAGGTCATGAGGTGATTCAAGCCACTCTTTGAGGAAATGACTTAGAGCTTAGTTGTCTAACCTATGTCCTTCTGTCATATTGAGAAGTGCTGACATCCATCAATGACCTTTCTAATGCTCTAGCTTGCCAGGCTCTTCAATTTCTTAATTGCCTTTAGTTACTCTCAATTCTAGCTTCTTACATCTATGGCCATATCACAGACATGTTATAGGCCAGATGCTCCCATGTGACACCTTAAACTCCAATGCCTACTCTGACCTATCTTTATCTATTGAAGATTTTCACATCCACTAATGCCTTTAAAATTTTGGTGTCTGTTTCTTTCAGGGTCTCTGATTACTCCATTTTCTCCCAATAACCCCATTTTCTCTTAACTTCTCAATTTCTTCCTAAACTCACTTATTTTCATACCATGGCTTTTGACTTTTTTGGATACCATGGCTGGTATGGATACCATGGCTGATGGTTTGGATACCATGGCTGATGACTTTAGTTCTTGACCTACTCCCAGGCACTCCCTTCCTTACAGCATATGTTCCTGTTAAAGTCCCCATAGCACATCATACCCAAAATCTGTGCTCCATTATTTTATAACTAGAATGTTTAGCATTGCTAAAATGAAAATGTCTGAACGATCAGGTTGCTGCCACCACAGATTCATGGTCTTCAGTTGAACTCTCAGTGCCAGTCAATAAGACTCTTGGTTTGTGCACAGTAACCTACTGCTTCCTCTCCCACTCTCTGCATCTGTGCCAAACCTTCACCACTCTGCATGGTCTCCCCACCCCCACTTACCTGCATCACTTCCAGTTTAAATCATTAGGTACAAGTTTAAGTGATCATTCTGATAGCAGTGTTGAAGATGTGAGGATAGTCAGCCTCCAAGATGAGCCAGATGATCTTAGCCTTCTGTTATGAAATGTGTTAAATTAACATTTATTAAGTGGAGCACAGGGTACCAGACAATGAGCCAAGGCTCAACAATAGACCAGAAAAAAAATCAAAATAGAGAAGTTTATTACTAACAGGTCCTGGAGGAAGTATGCCATATGCCTCAAGGGGCCACCTGGGGAGGTCAAGGCAGAGTGCAGACAGTGAGAGAGGAAAGACCTGCAGCATGGGTACATAGCCTCCATGGGTGGAGTAGTTGGAGGTTTCCAAGCTAGGGCCAGATTGGTCAATTTAAACCAAAAGAGTAGAGTTTCGGTAAGCCTTGTGGGGTGGTCTTACTTAAGGAACTCATAAGATGTACAGACACTGGGAGGCAGGGGAGACTGTTGATCATGATGGCTGTTGGTGAAATCATATCAGGAACTTAAGTTTGTTTGTGCTCTGCAGGCTGTTATCTAAGGCATGAACTTGTGAGAGGGGCTGATGCCTGTTTACCATCTCTGCCGACCACTTGGCCAAGCAAAATTGATGCCAAGGCAGCAATATTATGAAGCAGGTTAGCTAAACTCTTAACACCTGATTTTTACACTGTGCATAGTCTCCTTTCTTCAGCAGACTGCATAATCACAGAGTACAAGGCAGGTGGAAACACATGACTTTCAAAGCTAGGTTATGAAAGGAATTGCCACCTCAGCCTCGGCATTTTGGCCCACTTGCTTGGGTGGAAGCTAAGCTGTCAGGTCATGAGGTGATTCAAGCCACTCTTTGAGGAAAACTGAAGCGTCCGTCAACCACCCACACCAATACATGAGCCATGAGAAAGAGCCACCCTGGAAGTGGGTCTTCCAGCCCAGGCAAGCCCTCAGGCAACAGCAACCTCAGCCTACTCTTGACTACAACTTCATGAGAGACCCAACAATAGAACTCCACAGCTAAGCTTCTCCAAAATTCCTGACCCACAGGAACTTTGAGACATGATAAGCCTTCATTGTTGTCTTAAGTCATAAACTTTTAGGATAATTTGACATGCAGCCATAGACAGTTAATACAGATGGATTTATAGGAACAAGACCAGAGACAAGGAGACTGGTTAGGAGGTCATAAAGTAATGCAGGCAAATGCTGATGAGGGCCCCAATTTGAGCTGTGGGGTACAGATGGATAGGAGAGTAGGATCTGAGAGATATTCTGGAATATAAATGTGCATGAAATTGAGTGCATGTGGGTGTTCCAAAAGCATATAATTATTCTCAGCTTTCTAGCTTAGGTGGATAGTTGCCAAAGATTAAAATAGAAAGTGCAGGAGGAAGAATATGATTGGAGAGGGATGATGAACTCAGAATTGTGAAATTGAACTTGAGGTACGTTCAGGTTCTATGTGACTATGCACCAAAAACCTCCATAATGCTTGTTTCAGTGGTTTCTTTCAGTCCTTAGCTTTCTGGAGCACTCTGCTGCATTTCACACTATCAGCTACTGTTTATTTCTGCAAATTTCCTACTATCTTAAAAAAAAAATTTCCTACTATCTTGTTGTTGGTAAAATTGCAATATTTCCAGAATCTTTCACCTGGCCTTACTTCATCGCCATATCAATAGGTGTTTCCAAAGGGTGGAGAAAAGTAGTCCATCTCCATATCAATAGGTAATGACAGGGGCTAGCAGGGCATATCTGGACCAGAGAGGTTGGGTGGGGTTTCTTCTTCAGTCAGGTCATGAGAGACACAGGAGAGAAGAAGAGGACAATTGCTTGTAAGAAATAAATGATTTCTCCCTTTGACTGATTTTGGTTTCAAAGGTATTTTGCCCTGGGATTTTCTTCCTGGAGTTACACTTGGCTCAAGGCTGTTCTGATTTTTCTCCAGCTCTTATATTTTTTTCTCAGTCTTCCTCATTGCTTCCTCGTTTCTTTTTTTGTTCATCCAAATGAGGATTCCACCTCATTCCGTTAAATGCAAATGCTCTCTTCTGAGTCCCCTAGAAATCTAAGATTTATTTTCTGGGCTTTATCAGAATAAAGTTTTTAAAAGAATAAACCTGATATTAGTGTCTCTTTTTATGGATATGATTCAAATTTCTAACTGACATAGTTGTATTCTTATGTCAGTTCTAATTTTATTATTGTTGGTAATATTATGGCTTATAATAAGAAATGTGTTTCATCCCTGTCCTGGCCCACAGCAAACAAAATCCTTGTAATGTCCTAAGTAATTAAAGTAACAGGAATATTTTTTGTTACATTTGGTTTTATCCTCTATTCCTAAAATAGATGCCAAGAGATAAAAATGAAGCAGGTGTTTTTTTTTGTTATTCATAACAAGTCCCTTTCAATAACACTTGAGTTTACCTCAATGAGACAACTTCTGAAAAGCCCTGTGATTAGACGGTTGGAACTTTCAGCCCCACATCCTGACCTCCAGGGAGGAAAAAGGGGCTAGAGACTGACCTGCTTACTAATGGCCAATTATTCAATTAATCATGCTTACGTAATGAAACCTTCATAAAAATCCCTGTACTATACAGCTTCAAGTAGCTTCCAGGTTGGTGAATGCACAGACATATCAGGACAATAACATGCCTAGAGACAGCACGGAAGTTCTGTGCCCTTTCCCCATACTTTGCCCTACACATCTCTTCCATCTGGATGTTCCTGAGTTACATACTTTTATAATACACTACTAATCTTAAGTAAAATAAAATGTTTTCCTGAGCTCTGTGAGCCTATCTAGCAAATTAATTGAACACTAGGAGGGGATCATGGGAACCCCAAGTTGAGAGCTGATTGGTCAGAAACACAAGTAACAGCATGGACTTGGAATTGGTATCTAAGCATGTTGTGGCAAGGGGCAGTTTTGCAGCATTGAGCCCTTAACCTGTGCAATCTTGTTATCTCCAGGTAGACAGTGTCAGAATTGAGTTGAATTGTAGGACACCCAGTTTTCTGTCTAGAAAATCTAAGAACTGCATAATATGGGGAAACCCACACACATTTGGAACAGAATATTGCTGTGAGAGTAGAGGAGGAAAAGGAGAGAGGTTCTTTTCTCAAACATTATTGCAGTACTATATGTGAACTTCAGATATTTTTGTTGCCCTTCTGGACACATAGCAGACTTGAAATTTCATGCTTATTTATCTTTGAAACTGAAATATAATGCGTTTTCTTGTTTTAGCCAATGAAATGTGCAGAGAAGTGACACATGCAAAGCAGTAAGAACATTTGTGCCAATTGCCAAGTTTTCTTTCCTTTACCTTGATTCTAGGTCCCTGAATGACAATAGGTCCCTGACAAGTATTACACATTCATATGGTGGGGAGAAAGTTCCTTATGTAATGCTGTTGAATTTATTTATGAAAGTTATCATACCACTGCCTAGCTCATCCTGATACAGCTGCAATAAAATTCTAGGTAATGTAAAAGTATGTCCCCTCAAGTTCTAAGGCCTCTTGTATCAAGTGGGTTTTATCTGAAAGTTAATGATACCAAATGTCTAAGTTACCCAAGCACTGCTGATGTATATATTCTCCAAGTCTTACCTACAATTCCCAGGAATGTAAGCTTGAAGACTTCTTCCTTCTGTTGTGACACTCAATGAAAGGGCAATTGTTAGTTAGCTTAAATTCATTTCTTCAAATTTCAATTCTAAAACTTAGGCCAAACATACAGAAGACTTGAAACCTCTTTTGAACATCCTTTGGGCTATCAAGAGGACATGAAATCTTCAGAACACCATCTAAATGTGCAAGATTGTTTGAAGAATGTAGTAGAACAGTTGGGTCTTTGGTGTGGTTGGGCCAGAGTATGAAAAAGTCTTACAAAAATAATTTTCATGTATTTCTTCTCTTATCTCTATATATTCACTGAATATCACCCTTTTATGACAAGTTGCTATTGACAACTTCTCCATAATCTAGGTAACTTTGGGCAATATTGGCCCTGAAAAATTTATAGAATGCTAGTAATTCATGTTAAATTGAGTATTCCCAAGAGTTTCCATACAATATTACATGTATATTCTTTTAAATAAAAGCCCTGTAAGATTAATCTCAATTCGTATCATCTCAGCACTTCACCTTTTGATGTATTGCCATGTAAGTGAATTATGTTTGTGGGCAAAAATGATGAATAATTGAATACTCAAATGAATAAAGCCTTCCCTAATTACTTATAGGATCTTCTGCATGCCCATTATCATTAGCTACATTTTTCCAGCAATATTGAGGGACAAGTTAGAAAGAATTTTTCAGTACTTTGAGGAACATGTAATATACATCTTAGTCCTCTTGGGCTATTATAACAAACTATTACAGACTGAGTGCTTATTTCTCACAATTCTAGAGTCTGGAAAGTCCAAGATCAAGGGGCTGTCAGGGTTGGGTTTGGTGAGGGCTTTCTTCCTGGCTTATAGGCAGCTGCCTTTTGTGCTCTCATAGCCTCTTGTGCATGTGAGTGGGAAAACAGAGAGAGATCTCATCTTTTTCTTATAGGTGCACTAATCCCCACATGAAGGTTCTACCTCCATGACCCATCTAAACCCAATTAGCTCCTAAAGGCCCTGTCTCCAGATATTGTTACATTGAGGGTTAGGTCTTCAATATATGCATTTTGTAGAGCCACAAATATTCAGCTCATAATAATAGGATATATTATAACACTCTTTGGACCATCATATTGTAAGTAAACATAAGCATTGTTAAGAGAGGAATTTAATGTGTAGATACTGAGAAAAAAATATTTGACCTTCAGGAAAAATACCTTTTTGCCTGAATTGTCAAATTGTTTAAGATAAAGAATATGGCCATCACTATACTACACCTATAAATGTGTAGATTGCAGGCTTGGACAAGAAAGTTTCCAGAAAAGACTGGATCCAATCAGCTAAGTAGAGGATACAGGGCCAGCGCAACCTGACCATGTTCAGAACTTGGTCCATAATGTCTTTTTCTTAGTACACAATTAGAACAATGCTGTGTTAAAAAGTTATACATAACTTGAACAGACATTTTTCCAAAAAAGCAGCACAGATGGCCAAGAGGCACATGAAAAGATGCTCCACATTGCTTGCGAACCATCAAGTTAAGGCAAGTCACAACTGCGATGAAATATCACCTCACACTAGTCAGAATGTCCATTGTGCAAAAGACAAAAAATAACAAGAGGTGGTGAGGTTGTGGACAAAAAGGAACACTACTATACTGTTGGTGGGAATGTAAATTGATACAGCCACTGTGGAAAGCAATATGAGGTTCATCAAAAAACTAAAACCAGAAATACCATATGACCCAGTAATTCCACTTCTAAGAATTCACCCAAAGAAAACAAAATTCCTGATTTGAGAAAAATATATGGACCTTTATGTTTATTGCTGCATTATTTACACTAGCCAAGATGTGGAAGCAACCATAGTGTCCATCAACAGATGAATGGCTAAAGAAGATGTGGTACATATACAGAATGGAATATTCAGCCATAAAAAAAGAAGGAAAACTTGCCATCTGAGACAACATGTATGGGCCTAGAGGGTATTATACTAAGTGAAATAAGCCAGGTGGAGAAAGACAAATACCATATGATTTTATTTATTTGTGGAATCTAAAAACAAAACAAAACAAAATGAACAAAATAGATGTAGACTCATTGGTTGGGGTGGGTGGGTAGGAATGGTGAGGGGCATAAAGGGGCACACAAAAATTCTCAATCATAATATATGTTGGTCACAGCAATGGTAGTACAGCATGGAAATTATAGCCAATGATTCTGTAATACCTTCCCATGCTGACAGATAGTAACTGCACAAGTTGAGGTGAGGATTTAATAATGTGGGTAACTGTTAAACTACTGTGCTGTGTATCTGAAACCAATATAAGATTGTATATCAACTATACTTCATTAAATAAATATATATAATGTCTACACATACTTCAAGTTAGGAGGAGAGAAGAAAATAGGGCATAAAAAAAGGTTATATATAATATAAAAGCTGCCATCAGGCAGCATGGTGGAACAACTGATTTTAATCCAAATAATACATAACCTTAGTGATTATTATAAATGAATATTTGGAGTCCTGACAATTTATTTGGCATTTGGTATTTGGCACAATATACAAGATTCCTTGCTTTAGATGATATCAAATCACTTTTTTCAACAGGGTTAAACAGTGAAGAAGATTCCATTTAGTGGTGAACCCAGACAAGAGAATAGGTATTTATGGTACAGTGGCTAATTATTTGAGAAAGGCAAATGTGAAGAGCTATTGACACACTCAGGAGCCATATGGCCCTGCCTAGGGTTTTAGGGAAGTCTTGGAAGGAGCACTATTCATCTGAGTAGGTATTAGTCCTATGAAGAAATGGGGATAGGAAGAAAGGTGTTCAAGAAGATTGGAGTATTCCAAGCAAAGGAGAAAAGATAAGGAAAAGCACATCACGGGAAGCATATGTGGGTATATGTTCAAGGAGCCCAGCCTAGCTGGAGGTGGGTGGCTAAGACATGGAACTGGAATACACAGTTTTGACTATATGTCTGTCTATAGGTTCTGAACGCATCTCGTGTATTGTCAGAGTCATTCAATAAACTTTCTTTTTTTTTAGTGCTATCCTGATCTCAAGAATGAGAATAGCTCCATTTTACTTCTATAACAGTAAGATATTTAATATTTACAATATGTCTACTTTTTCTAAATAACATTCCCATCATGTCTCAAAGTTTTGGGGTGCTGCCTACTGGTATTTTGTTTCAGTTTTGTTTAATTTAACCCAATTTATTAACATTTGGGGCAACTGATCAACTACTACTTAAACTCATGTCTTAAATTCACGTGAAATGTTTGACATTTTATTGGCTATTATGAACAATAAATACAAAAGACAGAAAGAAAATTTCATCCTTTCAGCAAATATTTGTTGAGTGCTTACTATTTGCCAGGCTCTGTTCTAGACCCAAGAAATAGCAGTGAACAAAAAAAGATGAGTATTATGGAGCTTACTTTCTAGAAAGACAAAAACAAGATGACAGAACAAAATATCCAAAGATTTAAAAAATGAAAGAGCCAAGATAAATGAGTAAAATTTAGATGTTCTGGCAAACACCAAATTAACCAAGTCATCAGGTTAAAATCACCAGTGCTATCATGTGAATATCAGGTGTGTCCTGCCATGGTGTAATGAGAAAGGGTACTTCATCTCTGTGCTGTTCTTCCAGTCCATAATATCACCTTCATCATGAGAAAGTAGCCAAGCCAAATTGGAGGATGTTCTACAAAATACCTAATATTCCTCAAAACTGTAATGTTATGAAAACCAAGGCAACACTGAGAAATTGTCTGGGACCAGAGGAGACTAAGAAAACATGGCAACTAAGTGCAATGTGGTATCCTGGATGAGAGTTTGTAACAGAAAAATGACAGTAATGGAAAACTAGAGAAACCCAAATAAAGTCTGGAGTTTAGTTAGTAGGAATGAATTAACTAATGATGGCTTATTAGCTTGGATAAACATACAGCAGTAATGTGAGATGAAAATATTAGTGGAAACTGAAGTTGGGTAAAAAGTATACAAGAATTCACTGTACTATCTTTACAATCTTTCAATAAATTTAAAAATCGTCCCCAAATAAAAAGTTTATAAAGAATTCATATATAATATCTACAACATAAAGAAAAATGTTTTATAGGAATAAACATAATAAAAATGTGCATGACCATTATGAGAAAATATAAAACTTTATCAAACATTACTAAAAGAGACCTAAAAAACAGAGAGAAACATCATTTCAAGCATAGGAACTTTCGATGTAGTAAGGATGTCCATTCACCCTGAGTTAGTAAATAAATTCAATGTAACTTCAATCAAAATGCTACCAAACTTTGTCATGGACCTCAAGAAACAGATTCTAAAATATATATGAAGCAGCAAAAGGGGCAAGAAAATTCAATTCCAATGTTAGAGAAGATCAGAGAATTATCATAAATCTGTAGTGACTAAAGCAGTGTCGTGCTTTCACAGATATTGACAAATAAAAGCAGGGGAACATGATAAAAGCCCAGAAATAAACATACAGGAAGATACATAGATAGATGGATGGATAGATAGATAGATAGATAGATAGATAGATAGATAGATAGATAGATAGATAGATAGATAGATAGAGACAGACAGATAGATAAATAGGTAGATAGATGATAGATAAAGATGGTTAGATTTGTGTGCCAAATTTACTGGGCCAAGGGGTGCTCAGATAGATGGTAGATATTATTTCTGGCTGTGTCTGTGAGGATGTTTCCAGAAGAGATTCACATTTGAACTGGCACACTGAGTAACGAAGATCACTCTTACCAGTATGGATGGGCATCATCTGATCCACTGAGAGCATGAATAGAACAGAAAGGCAAAGGAAGGGCAAATTTGCTCTCTCTTTGGCTTGAGCTGGACTATCGCCTGCTCTCTGGTTCTTGGGCCTTCAAACTGGAACTGGGGATTTATACCATTGACTATGCCGGTTCCCAGGCCGTTGTGCTTGGACTGAACCTACACCACCAGCTTTCCTAGGCCTCCAGCTTAGAGATGGCAGAGCGAGGGACTTCTCAGCCTCTATGATTGTGTAAGCTGATCACTCATAATGAATCCCTTTCTGTATATCCATATGTATCTTCTTGTTCTTATTATTCTCTTCTGAGAACCCTAATACCCCCACTTCATACTCCCTTTCTCTTGTTTATTTATTTATTGATTTATTGATGAACAAATCTAACATTCTCTTGTCTCTCTCTTTCTGTTTCTCCAGAGAACCCTAATAGAGAGAGAGAGAGAGAGAGAGAATGTTAAATTTGCTAATTACAAATGGGTATGAATCGCAGGGAAAGGGTATGAATCGCAGGGAAGGAGCTGAGGCTGAGATTTTAGGCCACGTAAAGCCTCGTGAGAAGGTGAGTTATGAGTAAAGACCTGAAGGGACGGGGTGAGGGACTCGCACAGATATCTGGAAGAAGATAATTCAGGCAGAGAGAACAGGAAGTACACAGAGTCCCTGAGGCAGGACCACACCTGCTGAGTTTGAGGAACAGGGAGAAAAGCAATGAGGTTGGAGCACAGTAAAAAGAAGAGAAATAGCAGAAGAATCAGAGAGGTAAGGGGGGGGAAAACAGG